GTGTACGTCGGAGTATTTATGTATATCGAAAAAGAAAGAAAGAGAAGAAAAATAGATAGAAAAGAAAATGTAAACTGGAAGGAAAGAATGAAAAGAATATGAATAAATAAATAAATATATATAAGTATATACATATATATACAAATATATCATTGGAAATTAAAAGAAACAATAATACCGGAACATAAAGCCTACAATCATTTATTTACATTCATACCTAATAATATATCTATTTATTTTCCTACTCATTATCTCTTTCCTTCTTTCTCTTTTACTTATCCATTCATTTATCCATCGATCTACCTACCTACCATTCAACCATCCCTTTTTACTCTCCACCAAAACGTTTCACTTACTGACCCTCCCCCCCCTCTTTCTCTCCCTCCCCCACCAGGCCACAGCGGCGTGAACCAGCTGGGCGGCGTGTTTGTGTCCGGCCGCCCACTCCCGGACACCACGAGGCAGAAGATCATCGAACTCGCCCACTCCGGCGCCCGCCCTTGCGACATCTCCAGAATCTTGCAGGTGTCCAACGGCTGCGTCTCCAAGATTCTCGGCAGGTGAGTGATAAGGGGGAAGAGGGGGTGGGGGTGGAGGGGGGGATGGAAGGGGGAGGGAGGGAAGACAGAGAGAGAGAGAGAGAGAGAGAGAGAGAGAGAGAGAGAGAGAGAGAGAGAGAGAGAGAGAGAGAGAGAGAGAGAGAGGGATATATATATATATATATATATATATATATATATATATATATAGAGAGAGAGAGAGAGAGAGAGGAGAGAGAGAGAGAGAGAGAGAGAGAGAGAGAGAGAGAATATAATTAATATATATATATATATATATATATATATATATATATATATAGAGAGAGAGAGAGAGAGAGAGAGAGAGAGAGAGAGAGAGAGAGAGAGATGAGAACGAGAGACAGAGAGAGAGAGAGAGAGAGAGAGAGAAAGAGAAAGAGAGAGAGATAGAACGAGAGAGCGAGGGACAGAGACAGAGACAGAGACAGAGAAAGAGAGAGAACGCGAGTGACAGAGGTAGAGAAAGAGAGAAAGAGTAACATTAAAGCACCTATCTCCCCAATAATCCATGCTTCACTTCCATCATCTTATCCTAATCCCTGCCTTCCCCATACCTGGACAACAAACGCCCCTTACCTATTCAACACTAGACCTTTTAACCCATTCTTCCCTCCTCCCTCTAAGATCAAGGCCCATAGATACCCATTCTCTCGCCATACTTCCCTCGAATACCCTCCCTCCTCCCTTTCCCCATCCTCCCCCCCTTCCTACTCCTCTTCCTTCCCACCTCCCCCACAACTCGTTCGAAAAGCCCACCCAGCCTTTTCCCTTCTACAGAATTCACGTATCTGAAACTCACCTTTAACGATCAACGCCCATTAGTTCATTCAATTCCACAATCCCTATTTCCTTTCAGTAATCATCAACCATTAAAACTTATCTGCTTTCGCAACAGACACACATACCCACTACTACCTATTTTCCTTAACCCCATGCCTATATAACACCCTGTAGCCAATTTGCTAAACGTTTATGTGTTAACAAGAATATGCTATGAACCCATATCGTCAAGGAATATTCTATTACAACTATGTAAATATAGTCTGTACAGATCGCTCGCTGAATGATACTCATTCATTTCCCTCTTACCCCCCCCCAAACAAACAAACAAAAAAAACATACATACATATATATATATATATATATATATATATATATATATATATATATATATATATATATATATATATATATATATATATATATATGTACATATATATATATATATATATATATATATATATATATATATATATATATATATATATATATATATATATGTATATATATATATATATATATATATATATATATATATATATATATATATATATATATATATATATATATATATATATATATATATATATATATATATATATATATATATATATATATATTTATATATAAACATATATATTTAGAAAAAAAATATATATATAAATCGCGCAGCTTTCATAGACCACGAATATCTCAAAAGCACGATACAGGCATCGCTCGCGTTAAAAAAAAAAAAAAAATAGAGAAACGAATTGCCTCAAAACCAGCCCTAACCACCATCTTTTCTTCCCCTTCCTCCAGGTACTACGAGACTGGCTCCATCCGGCCGCGTGCCATCGGGGGCTCGAAACCCCGCGTGGCTACAGCCGAGGTGGTGGCCAAGATCTCCCAGTTCAAGAGAGAATGTCCCTCCATCTTCGCCTGGGAGATCCGCGACCGGCTGCTCTCCGAGGGCGTCTGCTCGTCCGACAACATCCCGAGCGTGAGTAGATTGTTTGGAAGGATTTTCGTTGTTGGTGGGGATTGTGGTTGGGGATTGTGGTTGGGAATCTGATTGGGTTTGTTTCTTTTTTGGTGATTGTGTATTGTATAGGTTGATGTTGGTGTTGGCTGTGTTGGGCTTAGCTTTCCTGTCTCTTTAT